AGAAAAAACAAAAGCCCTTTGGAAACGCGGCACCCGCTGTTGTTTGGCTTTTGAGGGATCATTGCCTTCCCAACATCCCATTTTACTGTGCCGCCCCTCTGCTCCTTTATCGGCTGCGGAGAGGGCTCAGCAACGCTTGTCTTGAGACTCCCTCTAGTGAGGGAATGGTGCAGATTTCTCTGAGACATCATCCCGGAAGGTTTGTGGCAATGTTGGGGCGGTCACTCTGTGCGCTGCTGAAAGCCCTGCCAGGGTTTGCACTGGCAGGGGCTGCATTGCCAGGGGCTGCACTGGCAGGGGCTGCATTGCCAGGGTTTGCACTGGCAGGGGCTGCATTGCCAGGGGCTGCATTGCCAGGGTTTGCATTGCCAGGGTTTGCGCTGGCAGGGGCTGCATTGCCAGGGTTTGCACTGGCAGGGGCTGCATTGCCAGGGGCTGCATTGCCAGGGGCTGCATTGCCAGGGGCTGCGCTGGCCGGGTTTGCACTGGCAGGGGCTGCGCTGCCTCCGGGGCTGGCCTGGGCTCCGGGGATGCGCTCGCCTTCCCGGGCATGGGAATTGCGGGCAATCCCGGTTGCTGGGGGCTCCATGGCTGGGCAGCTCATCCTCTCCTCCTCCTCGGCGGGCGCTGCGTTTGTGCACAGGGATAGCCTGGGATGGGCACAGAGGAGCTGGAGGGCTGTGCCTCCATCCCCTGTCCTGCCATGTCCCTGCTGACAGGGCGCACAGAAATGGAATCCTTCTTCTCGGTGCATTATCAACAGCAGTGATAAGAGAGTGAGGGAGGGTGTGAAATGAGATATTGGAGGGGAAGCTGTGCATTGCATGCCCTGGCACCTCCCTTGGCACAGAATGGCTCTGAGGGCAGTTTCTCGGGAGAGAGCAGCTGTGAGCTGTCATGTGTTTAGGGCAATACACGTTTGAGTAAATAGGAATTGTTTGCACGGGGACTGCTGTGCAGTCACTCAGGCTAACAGCTGCTTGAATTGATGGAAAAGGGACAAAGAATGGAAAGGTCAGTTCTGCTGTGCTGCTCTATCCCCGCCTTTGTCACCGACAGCTACACCAGGTTTAGAAACTGAATTACCTCGGAAAAATTATTTTCCCTCACTGATATTGTACCTTACCACACAAGCAAGTAGGTAGGGTGTTATTTAGCAGGTTTTTCATAGTGTAATTATAAAAACTGTTACTACTGAATATAACCTAGTTCTGGCAAGTGGCACTTTTAAAGCATTAGGTAACTGTAGATGGTTTTGATATTTGCTGTCTGTGGATGCATAAATAATAGGACTCAACTCACTCCCTCCTTTCTCATTATGTAAAAAATAATTCATTTCTAGAACTGTAACTAAATAGTCAGCGTTGCTGTTTTCAGATGGAGCTCCCATTTCACAGCCTTGGTACAACTGGGACCAACCTTAGGGACAGCCCTTGGCATCTGCTGCCTACTTGTGCATAAATCACCAAAGAACAAGCCCTAGTTCAAAGCTTTGTTTCTTTACAAAACCCTACCATGCTTCATATTTTCCCTCGTCCAGATAAATTCACAAGATGGAAAATTCTAAAGTGGCTGGATAGGCTATCACATCCTGTGGATGTAGGAGACACCTTGTCCCAGCCATTCTCACATCCTGAAGTGGCCAACACCTGACTAGGAATGCAAAATCTAGGTGCAGAATACAACCTATAGAAGAGTGTGTTACTAAGCCCATGGGTGCTTCACCTTCTCTGGAATTTCTGTTTTGAATGTGAACAAGTCAGGGAACTGTGGGGTGGTGTTAGGAGTTCGTAATGCTGTGGCACAGTAGGATTTTAATTAGTTTGGTTTGTGTTTTTATGAATATAGAAAATTGAGCATTCGAGTACCTAATTAGTGAATAGCTACTGCAGTGAGGCAGCTGGTGCCAGGGAAGAACACAACATCTCTTACATCTTATTTTAAATTCACGTCATTCTAGAAGGCAAGAAATGGAGGGCAAACAGGAAGGACTCCTAAGGAGGCCTCAGGGTGACCCAGTTGTGGCCTTTCACTGCCTGAAGGGAGCCTGTGGGAAAGATGGAAAGAGATTTACAAGGGTCTGTAGTGACAGGACAGGGGGAAATGGCTTCAAACTAAAGAGGGCAGGGTTAGATTAGATATTAGGTTAGATATTAGATATTAAGAAGAATTATTTACTGTGAGGGTGGTGAGGCACTGGCACCTGGAGAAGCTGTGGATGCTCCATCCCTGGCAGTGTCCAAGGCCAGGCTGGAAGGAGCTCTGAGGAACCTGGGATAGTGCAAGGTGTCCCTGCCCATGGCAGGGCTTGCAATGAGATGATCTTTGAGGTCCCTTCCAACCCAGGCCATTCTAATTCTATGAATACAAACCCAGCTCTTGCCCACCCACTAAAAATAAAACACTAAACCTCTGTCACTGTGCTGAGTTTCAGTTTAATCCAGTTAAAAACTAATCTATACAAAGTACAGAGTGGGGCTTTTTTTTTTTTTTTACATATATTGCACCAGAGATATGAATTTGTACAACATTAACCAAATTTTACCCCTTCATCCTCCTACCAAAACCCCAGCCAAGTACAAAACTGAATCTCTGCATCTTTGCGGTGGAACTGGTGTCTGTATAAAGTCAGATACAGTTTTGTTGTAATCACCTCCTAAATGAAAAGCAGAATACAGGCATAAGCACTTGTGCCCATGATATTCCAGTCCCTTATTTCTCTGTGGTTAAAACTTGCCACTTCCCAAGTTACAACAATTCTTTATAAAGCTCTGGATGTTTCCAAATAAATGGGATAAGGGGGACAATTGCCAACGGCAGAGTCAGGACTTTACAATCAAATGTAAGAGGCTGCACTGAAACTGAAGCTTGAGCATTACATTACAAAGCTTTGTGACATTTAATGGCATCTTAGGAGGCAGAAGTAGCCTGAAGGAATTATTTGTGTGGTAGAAATGCCTTCACACCAAAGCTTTCAGTCCTAAATCTCTACAAACATCTGTGGCTGGATCACTTGTCCTCTGCAAACTTTCATGTGAGATGGGGAAAACACAGAAAGGTTTCCCCTTGCCTCTACCATGACATCTGAATAATTCCCTTTGTTTCCCTCCTCACCCTGTTACCCATGCTCAGGCTGCAACCCCAAAGCCAGGGCTGTGCCCAGAGAAAGTTACAGCTCCATGAACCATGTCTGGGCCTCTCTGCAGACAGATGAGGCTGCTGAAAGATATTTCAGTCTCCAGACAAAGACAAATTCAAACTGTTTTAGAATTGCATAGAAATGACAAACAGTGAGACATCGGTTTTGCAAACTAAAAATGTCATCTACTTGCATAAGGAACAAAAAGAAAAGGTGAAATAAGTCAAATTGGGTGGTATAAATGAAGGAAATGCAACATGACAACAGGATAAAATAGATAAATAATCTGTTCTGGCACTGAGTTCTGCTGCATTGTGTGGAGAACATGAATATGCCCAGGTCTGATGAAAGAAGCCTTGAGCATGGAAGGAATGTGCCTGGCTTCCATCAACCAAAGTTCTTCAAAGTGAGACATTTCCCAAATGTCAATACAAAACGTTAGCAATTGCCCTCTGGTTTGTTGAGTTTGCCTTTAAAATATTCAAGTCTTATTCTGAAAGGAACATCTTTCTCTAACAGAGATGTACTTCTGTTTCTTTGCTCAAGCCCCAAAATATCTCTTTTAATGCCATTGTCAGCAGTTAGCCACAGAACAGGAAGGAAATGTAAAGGATGCAGGCAGAGGTGTGTGAATCTGCTCAAAGCCAGCATTATACAATCACAACAATCCCTGTTTAAAAAACAAAACAAAAAAACAACCACAAAAAGCCAAGCAAACAAGGAAATCCACACAGGGTTTACACTTTAGGATAGTTTCACTTGGAAATGAATGAGAAGCAGGGACACTGGCACAACTTTTCAGCATTATAATAAAACTGACATGAAAATCAACTTACTCTTGTAAAATCTTGGTTTGCAATACTAGGGACCTATCCTGGTTCAATACCAAAATAATACAATCAAGCAGCACCCCTGGCTTGGGACACTTCTTAACCTTAGACCAACTGCTGAAAGACCCATAAGAGTCACCAGTGAGAGCCTTAACAAATCCCAGATTCATGTCTGGGAAGAGCTCTCTGAAGCACATGGTGCACTTTGAAAAATCTGGTTTTATTGTAGGAGGTAGGACAATTGCACAGAAAAAGACAGTGAGTCTTGTTCTGTTTTGCACAATATTTCCATCAACATAAAAAGCTTACTTAATAACATGCAAAATTTTGAGATCAGCTGGCATCTGATGAAAGAAATGGGGACAAAAGTGCTGTCCCAAGGGCCAGTTGAGCTTTCAACTGCTACACAGAATTCATCTCAACAAGGAGGACGGTTCAGATCAGTACACAAGCACAGTATTCCTTTTGAAGGCTTTCAGTGGAGTTCTTAGGTTTCTGTAAACATGAAAAATATTCACTGTTCCTCAGAATTCTTTGCTGTGTTTAAATTTTACAAAGTGCAAGTTTTCTGTGATTAAGAAATTTTATTTTTATTTGGTCTCAAAGAAGGAAGAGTTTGGTAGTGCTGGAAATAGGCCTTTATCTATGGTCTTTGTTTCCCCATCTTTCGCTTTTCAGCATTTCTGGAAAGAGTTTCTACATCAAGCTAGACCTAACTTAACATCCAGGCCTGTTCCCTGTTTCCTCTCTGAGAAGATCCTGATTCATGCCTAAACAGAGAATGGCAGACATCTCCCCCTTCTTTGTGAGGGGAGAGTTCAACAGCTCAGTCCCCTGGCCAAAAAACCTTTAGTATTAATGTTTTCCTTATTTTCCTTCTCTGTTATAGCTTCTACATGATCCCCTTGTCTTTCTTAACAATGCATTTGAGAGAAAATTAACTTAAAAAGCAGATCTGATACTTCATGTCTAACATTCCTGATGATTTTACAGTCTGAGGGAGAAAGTTCATGTTTGACTCTGATTTCCTGTCCCCCCCCACCCCTCCCTCCCTCCCCAAATAATAAAGATGCTATAAAGTTGAGGCACGAGTGGTTAAGGGTGAACTGGATCAGTTCTGACAGCTGCTTCTTGCACGTGTCCTGGTGGTAAAGGCTGATCTCCTCCTGCTGGGTGCTGCGCTGCATCTGCAGCTTTGTGCTCAGCAGCTGCAAAACAAGAACACAACCCTTTGTAACGTCTCAGTACACTGGCCCCAAATGTGGAAATTCTCTAAATGAAAGTTTCTAGCATAGGGACACTCAAACAAAAACTTCTATTTTCTGGTTTATAAGTGGAATCAAGAGTTTTTGGGATTGAGACCCAACAGACTGCACTATTAGTCAGTGTTACCTCTTAGATTACAAATTGTTTCTGCTTTCTGTGAAATATTCTCACATAACACATTGTTCTTTCTGAAATAAATCATGTTTTTATGAGACCTTTAATCCCAATATGGGAAGCTTGAAAAAGAAATAATTAACAACTTGCTCCTGTATGTTCCTCCTCACTGCATCAGTACTTAAAATGTTCTCCCTTTGCCTACATTTGAGTAATACTAATTTTCATCATTTGATGAAGATTTCAGAACATGCAGCTCCATTTCTGGATTTTTTTCCCCCTCAAATTACTCTTAGTAGCTCCAGTGGCCTAGAGATTTAAAGTAGTGTCTACCTGAACATCCTTGATTCAGTGAATGAGTAGTGACCAGTTCTGGCTCATATAATGAATTCTCATGACACCTAATTAAATGACTTTACAGAATAATTTTACATAAAAGAATACATGTGTTAAGAACAGTATTGAAAGATGTACCATCTGCAATTACACACAATGGTTTCACTGAAGGTGAGGGGAATTAAGGCTCTTGGATTGAAGGATCATAAAATGAAGTTACCTCCAGGCAGTTTCAAAGCAAATAAAAGGCAGAATTAAATAGGTTCTGAAATCTCATCACTTTCCTTCTGAGTGGGCAGAATTTCAGGGTACCCAACAAGGTAAGCTGTAGTCACTGAACACAGCTCCTGAGGTTTGAAATCCCACTGCTGGCCCTGCAGGAGCAGTTAAGATCTCCTTATACTCAACAGGCTGCCTAGGTAGAGCTGAAACTTCTATTTGAGATCAATGTCAGAAGTTCTTCAGCTTCACTGATCATGTCAGCACATGAACATGGAAGCCAATAAAGCCAGCATCGTTTCAGCCTTCAAGAAAAGGCTGATTTAGGGTGCATGGGGCAGCAGAGCACAAAGGAAACCTGGGCAGTGTGCTATGGATAAGAAGTGCTAATATATCCCTGACTTTTTCTGCCACCAGTGATGAAATGCAGTGATTTTTTTATGCCACTGCCTTCTCCTGAGGGTGCTGAAGCCATTGGTCATTCACACTGCCCAAGGCTGACTTCTTGTGTCATGCTACATCCAGCTGCTGCCAAATTGGCCACTGAGGACTTCAAATGCTTTCATTTGTTCTGCAGCCTCAGACTGCAATGCAGCCACAGATCATGGGACCTGTCTTTTGTATGTCCCTGTTCCTCCCTGGATGCTCTAATCTCAGTATTTCAGACTAATACAACACGATCCTCCTCCTCTGCCCCCTGTATGCCTTCTGTTAGGACTCTGGTTTCTTACTATGGACTTAAAAAAAGTGACATTTCAGGAGTACTTAGTACTTACTTCCCTCTGAAAAACAGGTTAGTGAGCCTCTCTCCAGAGGTCATTAAAGCTGCATTAAGTTAATAATTTTAATAGCAAATATGGAGGTAATGACTTTTACATTGCAAATCTGATTTTTTAAGTTTGTGTATCCACACAGAAAGTCACATACGGGGTTGGATTTTCAGTTCTCCACCTGGTCCTGCAGGAGGAATTCCTTGCTGTAGTTTCTTTTGCTCCATCTGTTTTACAACCTGGTGAAAAATAAAATACAGCAGTTGAAAAACTTGAATTTGCCACCTTTCTCTCATTTATGATGTGACATAAATGAACACACCTAAACCAAATGTTGCAGTTATGTAAGGTCTTAGTGGGTGTAGTGCTGAGTTGCTTTAATTTGGAACACCAGGCTGTGTTTTGCTGTGGTACCATTGGTTTAGAATTCAGCTGGGACTCATATGAGAAATCAAGTCTCCAGAACTGGGAATTGTGGAGAGCCACACAAGGACAGAGAAAAGAGGAAACAGATATATGCTGTCCTCACACATGTACCTGCTGAAGCTCTTGTTTCTGAGCCTGAAGCTGATCGTGCTGCCTCTGTAGCTCTTCCTTCTGTTTCTGAAGTTCTTCTGCCTTCTTTCTAAGTTCATCTTCCTGCTGGGAAATGTGATTTTCGAATTCCTTCAGCTCATCCTCGGTGAAGAGCTGCTGTTGATCTAGTGTCTGCAAGAAAATCCATACAAGCGTGAATACTTAGGAAAATACTTAGTATGAATACTCAGGAAAGCAGGAGAATTTTTTATTTTCTTACTGAAGTTCTTACACGATTCACTAAAAAAACCCTCAAAACAAAACAGTGAGACACGACACTGTGTATTCTCAATGAAAATAGCAAAACAGCCATTTCTCAGCTATTTTCTCAACAAAGCTCTACTAGGGATTTAGATGTAGGAGAAAAATATTCTCTTTCTTCCAGCTGAGCTCTTATCTTCCCTTTGAAGTGATTCATAAACAAAACGTGCATTTCCATTTGAAAAGCACGAGTGAAAAGCTCTTCCCGAATCCCCGGGGTGGCGCCAGACCTTTTCCGTGGGTGGAATTCACATCTGCATTACATTTAGGCAGCTCAATGCTACCTTCAGCCGAGGGGCTTAACGACACACATACCAGAGCAGAGCTGAAAAAAACCAAAGGTCACAGACATGCCGCTTGGTTTCCTGCTCCGAGTGCTGGTAATGGTGCTGCATGTTGTACTTGGAACACATTTTCATTACCTCCCAGCTGTCTGGCTCCAAAAATTCCTTTTTCTCTGTAGCTCGCAGGAACTCATCCAAAGTCACTAGCCGGTCCTTGTTGATGTCAACCTATTTGAAGCAAAAAATTAAGCTCAAGGTAAAAGACAGCTTTTGGAGAAGCTAATGTTTTTATTTCATCAATCAAATATAACCATTTTTAATTGTTTGTATGTCCCATTTTTGAGGGAGTGCCCACAACATTTTCTGAAAACTCCTCGCATAAGTTTATGTATCTTAACAAAAATAGAACTACAAAGTAAATCCTGACATTTTACTTCAAAAATCACTAGCTTTATTGGAAGCACTTGTGCTCACAGTCCAAACGCTAATAGTGGAATGCATGATTTTTTTTTCAGAAAGATGTTTTGTAGCTTTCTGGTAACTACTCTGACTCACAGTTACAAAATTATCTCCACCGTTGGAGTGGGAGGTTTTGAAAAACAAAAATCCCACCCAACTGAATTGTGCTGAAATCCTTTAAGGGGAAGGGAGGAAATGCTTCCCTTTATGACTAATAGATGACCAGGCTTGCTCTGTTCCTCAAGTTTAAGGAATACAGTTGAATACAGAAATATTATGGGTGGAAAACACAGTGGTTCAAAGCACCCCCTTTTCATTCCTGTGCTGAAAACCCATCTCCTGAGCTGAAAACCCATCAGACCCAGTGAAGGTTTTCATTGTCACAGGTGATGGCTTGAGCTCTGAGCCCCCTTTTAAAGGGACAAATCTGAGCTATATGAAAGAAGACTTTGCTCTACTCCCTCTTCTCACACCTACATCTTACCCATCTGCCAAGTGCCAAAGCAAATTTAGTCTTCCTTGTTTGACACAGAACTCACAAGGAATTTCTGCTGAATCTCAGTATCTGCAAACAGCCAAGGCTATAGAACAATTCCTACTCTGGGACTCCTTAAATGAAAACTAGCCAGCAGGCATTACATCAGAACACAGGGACAGGGTTTGAGAACTGTAACTTGGCATAATCCCGGCACAAGCAGCTCTCAGTGTGACAGGCCATCCCTTTCTGCTGCACTTGGACAACACTTCATGTCAGGAGAAATGTATTTTGTGAACACAGAAAGGAATCAGCCCCCACCTCATTCATTACATGTTCTCTCATTCTCAGCCTTTCTTCTTCCATTTCAACCATGTCATCCTCTTCATTCTTGGGATCATAAACTTTTTCTAACTGAAATTTAAAATTAGTACATGTTAGTTTGAAGAAAAGGCTGCTCATTCACATGGCAGAGCATATCTGGGAAAGTGGGAAAGTGGTGTGAGATGTTCTCTGTGTGTGCAATGTTCCTCTTTCAGCACAGTATTTAAGCAACAAGTGAGCCTTTCTTTCCTAAGAAAGAAGTTTTCATTTAATTCATGTGGTCTGTTACAATTCAGTGCTGCGGATGTCACAGTCAAGTTGACCTCAGTGTGCAAAGTCTGATCCTACATTTGATTCAAAGCAGGCAGAGGTTCCATGTGGTTTCTGGAATGGGAGAGAGTGGCTTTTTCGCCAGGGCATGCAGCTGACCCCATAAGCATTCAGAGTATTACAAGACAAATTCAGTGCCAAATTTAATGGTTCACTTCTCTTCTTGCACAATGTCTTTCTGGAGAGTTCATGCTTATGTATTTGTACTTTGCTTTCTCAGGCACTGAGCTTCACTTGCCCAGCCACAGGTAATTTGGTAATGGCCCCAGACCATTAGTTTTTACATTACAAAACTATAAAACAGGGAGACCCCTGTCAAAAAGGACTGCACTGTATCTTCATTGTAGTGAAGGGGATTATGGCAAATTATTGCACCAGAGTTAAATTTTTAGACAACAAACCAAGGCTTAAAGAAACTAAGAGCCTGTCTACTTTATCAGATGTACATGTGCTTCAAACTAGCCAGACATAAAATAGATTAAACTTCTGTAGCCACTTCCACAATGCTGTCCCTGAGCCAAGGCACACAAGTGTGACCCTTTTTCTCATCAGACTTGTTGATGAACACTGATTGAGCACAGGTGCCCAATTCAGAATCTTTATCAGGTGCATCTAGGGAGGGCAGCTCTCTACACTGCAATTTGCACAGGTAATACCTATCCTGCAGATTAGTTACAGAATCTCCAGCAAGCCTGGGGCACAAAAATACATGTGCACTAGATTTCTCATGTCTGACTCTTATTCAACTACTTTATTTTGCCTGCTTTTTACACTTTTGTAGAAATATTAAGGATGCATGAAACTTGGTATAAATACTCTACTTTGTAGTCCAAAGCCCCCAAATATACTTGGGAAAAACAGACATTCCTGTAACCCTTTACTGATAGAAGATAATTTTTTTACCTCTTTAGTAAATAGGGCTTCTAATTCTTGCTCATCCAGGAAACCATCATTATTGACATCTACAAAAAGAAGTTTTAAAAATACAAGTTGAGTACGTATAGAAAGTCATACACATAATAGATCTCCAAGAGTTAAGTAAGGATCAGTGTACACACTTAACAAGAAACTGGTTACAGAGGTTGTTTCTACTGTTGAGGTTTTTAGCAGGCATTGGGCTGGAGTGTCACTTTTGGTTGGTTGGACAAGTCTGCAGCAATCTCTCCACTTCTTAGATTAACAAACTGAAATAGGTCACCACAGGATTGCGCAGACTGCAACTGCCAAAAAATATCGCTGAGAACAAGTTGTCCCCATTTAACCACTAAATTTGTAATAAGACTCAGGAGCAAGCACCAAGATTCTGCAGAAAAACTTTAACTGACAATATGATCCTTAAAAACTTAAAGAATTACATCAAAATCTATATAAACATGCAGCACTTGAGATACGTGTAAGACGACTTTTCATGACAAATGCAGAGAGGAAAATACTTGATAATTAATGATCCATCTTTTATCCTACATAGTGTAATATTGTAATATTCAGAGCACAATCTCTGAAATTAAAATATCCACTTCAAATTATTACCCAGTATTTTTGTGTAATTCCTTGAAAGTTTTCTATATACTATGCTCTAAAGCAACAGGTGATTTCAGCTGTTTCTGTTTGGTAGGTTTTGCACAAACAAGCTACCAACAAATTTCAAAAGCTATCTTTCAAAACCTCTTTCTAGAAAGAAGAGATAAGATTTAGGAACTATAACTAGATGATCATTAAGGACCCAAACCATTCTGTAATAATACATGCTTATTTTAAGTTATAAACTGAGATAAAAGTTTAGGCTCAAACTAGAACACTTTATCTGAATCATCATCTTTGAGATTAGTCAAATTCTGTGTATTTTTCAACCCTTTGCAGCCTAGTGCCAGGCAGGATCTACTTAGGGGCACTTTATGATGAAGCATTTAACAATATCAGATCAAAGTTGTAAAGCAAGGTGTTCACTAAAATGCATCCTTATCTCTGCTACTGCTTGTTGTTTCTAGCTGTCCATTCCTCAGAAATCTAGGGGCAGGATTAGAGGGTTTTTGTTCTATCAAGGGAATACTGCAATTTCTGAAGAGCCTTGGCCCTTCTATGAGCACTCCAAAGATTAGGGGCATCTGGTACTTAGGTCCAGAGATGATGAGATAGCAGGTTTTGCCCCTACACAAATCTCAGAGGATTTATTCCCAGTACCTACTGTGCAAGCAAAGTTATAGATATGGACAGGCCTCTAACTACCCATACTTCCCCAAGGAATCCCTACTGGATTTTGCCTCTATGATTTTAGGAGCAGTTCAACAAATCTCTGAATGTTTTTAGATTTTAATCTGCATTTAAAACATTACATGAAATTTACAAACAGTAACAAATATTTTCTCCTCTGTACTATTCATTCCTCCAAGTTGCTTGAGGTGTAAGATTTCATCCTAACATAAGACAAACTTGTCCTCAGCAGAATGTAACAAAGTCACTTCACTTGTTCATGAAATTAAAACTAAACCTCTTACCGTGCAATTTGAAAAATGTTTTGGGGTCAAATTCATTAGGATCTAGTCCATCTGCTTCTTCCCACACCTCTTTCAGTTGATCTTTGCTTCCCTATAGATTGGTTACAAAGAAAAACTATTCAAAAGACAATTTAGTGTAATTTCCCTGCATTACCTTTGCATTATGGTTCCTCTGAAAGGCTTGCTTTATTTGTTGATTAGTCGTGGCAAATGGAATCAGTGGCATTTTCCTTCCTTCCCTTTTGGTCAAGTCTAATACTTTCATTACACAGAAAGGCCCAGGGAAAGAGGGAGTGTAAAGGAACTGCATATTCTCTGGAAAGGAGCACCTGTAATGATCAGTTATGGCCAGAGAGCCCCATCCAGAAACAAAAGCTGAAGGGAGCTGAATTATTTTGCCTTTCCTAGAGCAAATGTACTGTGATGCAGTTCCTTGCAGGCCAGACATACCATGCAGGCAGCCCTACAGTTTTGAATAATGTTCTGGCTTCTACCTTGTGAATTTCAGTGTCTGTGTAGGAATTCTGGCAGCAAATAACATATCTGTACAGAAAGAATGGGGGTTTATACACTGGGGTTTGCCATGCTCTCAGCACTGTGCCCATGTCAGTAAGAGGAGGCAAATGATGAGAACAAACAAACTACACCCTTCTGTGTATGAGCTTTTTCTCTCTGGAAAGGAGACCTCAAAACTCAGTCAAGTAAGAACAGGCCTTACAGGATGGTGAACTTTAGGGTGATCTCCATGCTTTTTCTTCATCTCCTCAAATTTGGATTCTTCCTTCTTCCTCTTTTCTTCATCCAGTGTTTTTAAATACTCTCTCCTCTCGTGTTCTTTCATCATCTCGTATTTCTTAAACTCCTCATGGCGAGTCTTATCATAGTTTTCCAGGTCACTTGTAGCCTAAAAATAGGGATACATGCAGACAGATGATTATGTAACATAATCTGACATTAAAACCACTGTATTGTTCAGATCTGTGGGCAAGGCTGGCCATGCTGCCATTCAGGGCAGACTGGCTGGGGCTTTCTTTCACATGACAGTGATGCAGAAACATCTCTCCTCCCTTGGTCATTTTCACAGGAGTTAATTTCTAATGGTTCATCTGTTGGACAGTTTTTGCAATTACATGGTGCTGTAAGAAAGCTTCAAGGTGTCCTTTCTCATCAGGAAGTAATAAATGAACTCAAGTTAATCAAGTCCTACACTAACAGTACCATTAATTTCTTCATCATTTCAGAATAAGAACATTTGTAGTTTATCCTACAGTTTAATGACACAAGTGCCTTCATTAATAATTGGACTTAGTTTGCAGCAGCTTAATACAGATTAAATTAAAAAGACCCAAACAATTAAATGGAGAGAAGGGGTATGAGAGGAGAATTTCTGACAAGTTCTTGTATAGAGTTTAAAGTTGTGTCATTTTCATACATGCCAAAGTATGAAAGGATGTTTTGGTAGTGCTTTTCAAAGTAACATGTTTACACCTGATACTGTCTCTCCATTATTTACATTTTAGTTTTCAGATTCACTGTATGTTTTAAAAAAACAATTTCAAAGCTAAGATCTCCTTAAGTATCCATTACACCCTGTCAGTATCTTTGCTGAGAAATGAGAAGACAAAACAATAAAATATGTAATAAAAATAACTGCCCTGTTAAGGTTATGCTTCTCCAAGCCAACCAGAATTTTCCCAGAAGTGATGTTCAGAAATGTTTAGAAAAATTGTAATATCTCTATAAAAAATAATTCTACAGAAAATGGAGATAAAATCTTCCATGGGTAAAAGAAATTACACAGAAATTATCATTCCATTTATTTTGAAAGTATTAAAAACTATTCAAATTCTCATATCACACATGCAGTGCTCTTTGAAGTATATCTGAGACATTTTTTCCCTCTGGAAAGTCTATTTTTCTCGAGCAGTTGAAAAAAGCCATGTCCTGTTTAGCTTAACTGCATCCCTTGAATAAACCTCACACACCTGTGACTGATACTGAATCTGCTGACCAGACACTGAATGCCATGCCCAGTATAAGCAACTTCTAATATTGCTCTCTCAAATTCTACTCTGCTGTGGTTTTGCAGCTTGATGTGTATACAGGAGATCCCAAAATTCATATGGCTAGGCTAGGGATGATTATTTACATCATTCTGTGAGAGTCCTGTATAATTTAGAAATCAGAAAAAAACACTTGCGAAAAATGCACCCCTATCTCACCTGTATTTAATTTAAAGGCTCTCAGAAAGGTGTGTTTTATTCCCAAAGTTGCTTGTACTGGCATATGAATGTTAAGTCCTGCTAAGGTGACATCCCAAAATCTATGGACTCTCTTGCATCATGCACACTGGCACCAGTTTTCAAGTGTGCATGGAGACAACTGACTTTTCCCTGAAAATGAAAACTGCATGTCATTTATAAAATGTGGTGTATAGGAAAGGACTTCCCTTTACCAGAGGTAAAAAGCATAAAAATTAAACCCCCAACCCCCACAGCAGTTCAATTCTGGTACTCACTGCTTTGATCAGCATATCCAAGTCTTTAGGTTCAAAAGTGTCAGGATTCTGATGGTTCAGGTGCTCAAACTGCTTAAGGAGAGCCTGATGGTCTATACCAGTGTCTGGAAGAATAAGGTATGAGGACTGAATAATTTTTTCATTGTTGGAGGAAACTACAGTAACATTTTTGAAGTTGCTTTTCCTGGAGCAGGTTGACAAACTTGGTGGCAATTTGATAGCACTACATTCTTACAAACTTGATGTAGTGCCATCAAGTTTGATGGCACTACATTTCTTCTGCTGGGTCAGTGCTGCATTGCACCCAATCAATTTACATGCACAAATTACAGCTTCTGCTTCAGCAAGAGAAAGTATGATCAATTTGAGTTTTACAAACAAAAAAACCTATTTTATTCTCTTTTATATAAATGAGATCATTGACATTGTGCTATACCTAAGCTAACAACTTGTACATTTTTCCTGCATAGGGAAAAGTCCAACTCTTCTGCTGCCCTGGATGTTTTGCAAATGACACATTTGGCCAAAGATTTATGTACAATATGGTGTAAAATTGTATCAAATCAAATAAGCAGTTAGTTAAGCTTCATTTGTAGAAAAAAGAGAAGTGCAAGACAGTGGAGAGTCAGGTCTTGGGTCTAAAAGGTGGAAACATTTTGTCTTCCTTGTGACAGGAGTGATACCCACCAATATCACCACACAATGCACTAAAACTACACACATTTCTACCACAGCTTCTCTGTTACCATGGTCTCTGAACACTAAAGCTACTCTCTTATGCTTTCATATGTTAAGTACAACAGTTGTGACAAGCTGTTACTAGATTGTTTTTAAACAAATAAAATATTCTTTGCTAAGCAAATTGGAAAACACATTTTTGAATATACTGTTTTTTTACAAACGATCTACTTTACAATCAATGCTGTGTTTGTAATAACACAAAACAGCAAACACTGGCCAGGGCAGATTTCAGCCATCATTCCTCCCTGGTGAGATCATAATTTCTGTTTAAATATATGGGCCTTTGTCTGTGTTTGAAACATTTTCAGAAGTGTAGTAATAGATTACAGAAAAATCAACAAACACTAAAAAAACACCAGCGCCCAAACCCATTTTTCTCCATTTTTTACATTTAGGGGACAAGATTAATTCTATTTGATGCTATTTACTTGCCACATGACTGTATGATCTGAGACTCAACTCCTAACATTCTTGTGGCCTGTACTGATCAGTCAAGGATCCTGGTGAAAATGTTTAAAAACACATCTGGATGAGGACTGAATTTATGCTGAATATAATCTCAGGTCTACTTGTCTGGAGTTTTTTAACCTGATCCAGCTGAGAGGAATGAAAAGAGGAGGGGTTTGTGTGCCTTGTTTTTTCTTTTTGTAGATCAGAGAGAAGACTAAGATACTAAATAGTGTTGTAGGGAAAATATTACAAGAGCAAAGATAAGGAAATCAAACCACTCTGCCTGTTGCTATTTTAATGCTCTTTGTGCCTATTCCAAGATGTTGTCTAGCTGTGTAGATGCAGCTGTATTTTATGGTTAATCTGGCCATACTTGTGTATGATGTGAAGCACTCATGGGCAAAGCTGACTATAAACTTTGCCAAGTGTTTTTACATCTTAGTACTCATCTGAATATTCTGAACAGGAATAATCTGTTCCCAAATGTAAGATCTCACATTTACACTGTAAGATCTGAGGTGTTGGGGGGGATTCTTTTTCTAAAGCATGTTCTCTTAGTTACTACTGATTTATGAAGGCAGAGAGGGGCAGAAGTAATCAGTCCATTAAGCTTCACAATACCTAAAACAACTATGTACACAACCAGGTATCATTAGCTGCTGTCACCTAGCTGTGAATGTCACCATGATGTCACTGGACTGCTTGTCTGCAATAGGAACAACAGACCCATAAACATTTTTTTGCCACATCTAAATTAGCTTAGCCTGCAAGACAGATCCTTATTCTAGGAGTATTTTATATGGTGTGTCATGTATTCAATTCCTTGGGATCTCTCTCAAAAACTTGCAAACATCTTTACAGTAATAAAATACCAAAAAATTAATTTTCTACCCCCTAAGAATATGAAATATTGTGTCATAGTTTTTCTCTTAAACATAGTCCTGCCATGTTACTGGTTCTCTGTGAATGATCTATGAACTGATGCATTACAAAAATAAGAGGTTAAAAATAAGAGGTAGAAGTATCTGAAAAATCCACTGACAAACAAGTTCAGTTATTTATAAAACAGAGATGGTTTTCTCTTCTCCCCAGTTTCCTATAAAGACAGGTCTGTAATGGCTCCAGGCCAGCTCAGAAAGGACACTCACTCTCAGTTTAGTCATTACTGGTGACAACAAACAATGCACAGCTGCTGGACTTTGACATTTCTCTAACACAGTTCCATCTGTTAACTCACCTAAATAAATTCTGTACTCTTACCTTGAACAGAATCCATTTTAGCTTTAATTAACATTCTTAATCTTGCTACCTCTTGTCTCTTTAGTTCATCCAGCCGTGTTCTCACATGGTGGCTGACTAAATCAAGCTCTCTGCTTAGCTTTCCACTCTGTCAAAAACAAAAAAGTCATGCATAAACACTGGAAGAAAGAAGCCTTTAGGATTCCCATTAGACATAAACTGCAAGACAGCAGACTAATGGCAGTCTCTGGCAATACTGTAGCCCACACTTTAAGAATCTCAACATTTTTTCAAAGAGCAGATTCAAAATTTATATGCCTGTGGTTATGGAAACAGAGAGGAATCCTAAAAGCTTTCAGAAAAGTGAATTTCTAAGTATCTTGCTCCTCCAAAGAGCCAGACCATAGCCTTGAGGGAGCAATGCCTAATAACATTTGTAGCAAATTTCTTGATCAAATATTCTCAGCTGACTTCAAAAGAACTGTGAGAAGCCCACAGAGTGCCTGATCCTCTCCAGGAGGGCTGTTGGGCTTGGGCGAAGGTACAAGGCAGCAGCAGCAGCCACTGATGTGTTCTGCAAGAACCTGGAAATGGAGAAGAATCTCCAAGGCTGACCCTAGATACAGCACAGGAGGAAAAGATGCTACAAGCTGCCAGCAGCAACATGAGGGATTAAAGGAAACACAAAAGGCAGGATCTCCTGCTTAAGTCTGTCACTTCAGACTGTTTCCTACTCATCCCTTCCTAAATTTCCAGCTCCTGAAGAGGCAATGCACAACAGCCACAGGAAGAAAGAATACAACATACATGATTATGGATTTAATTAACCTCAATTTAACTCTTTTTTCAAACCTACCTTTATTTCTTCTATGTCAGCAGTCTGGAGTTTCTCCCTGAAATGCTTATCAGTTTCCAAGACATCTATTACTTGCCTGAGATATTCATCATAATAAAGTCCTGTATCCTTCAAAAGAAAAAAAAAACGGGAATTCAGGAAAGACCATACTGACAAACAATTAGTTAATTAGTTTTGTTTAAATACAGTTATTAAACTGACACTCCAATCTTAGCAACACAGGCACTATGCTGTCTTACATATCTTTGTGTTTTCAGATTTGCATCATTGCACTATAGCAATTTATGATCCATTTGTTTCAGCAAATGACAAGGAAGAGGAGAAAAGTGATTAGGAATCCTTGTAATACAGAAACATCTGTCATGTTAATGTAGTGTGCAGCTTTTTTAAAACAGTGCAATTCATTTGTTGCCTTTCTATTTGAAACACTGAGCTGGGATCAGTGAGTGGAATTTCCTAAGGCACCACCCAATCCCTTGAAGTAAATCTCTGTGGAACAGTTATGTGCTTCCTGTTGTAAGCCGGGAATTCCTTCCATGTGCCAGCTCACCTCTAGCAGCTCATTGAAAAAAAAAATAAAGAGCAAATTTAAACAGAACAATCCCACAGTAGATGGCACACACACTGACAATACTATTGGGGAATATCAGTTTCCTTCTAAAGGAGTTTGCTGTATCCAGATTACTAACAATTAGGATAAACACTTAATTAGATCAGTTTCTTTATACTTACTGGATTTTCTACCTTCTCTCCTTCTACATGGCCTTCTGCCTTGACTTTTGTCTTATCTATGTCTATAGGTACAGCTTCCAAGGCCATTAGGAGACATGTCAGCAGCAGCAGACACTGCTGGGGCAGCACAGATAACATCTTCATCTGAAATGAGACCAGGTCACAAAAATTAACATACATCATGTTAATTAATCAAAAAAATTAACACATCAAAATTAACCTGCTCTACTGAGGAAAACTTTTTACATTCCTACACAAATATCTGTAATAACCCACTTTCCTCACAATGTTCTGCTCTCAAGGAACACAAAAACTCCAAGAAGTAATACAGCCTTAATTTTTGAAGGGCATTCTTAGGCAAACAGATTTCCTGAGATTGGCTTCCACTTGTGTGCAAACCTAAGCTGTAAATGGTGAGGGGTTTGTAACCTGCTGAGGTATTATCAATAACAGATGGCAGCACCTATTTAGGATGTTTAAGTCTCACATAACTAATACTGACATTCCTATTTGGACCATGCCTTTGCTGAATTTATTGGCAAACTCCTAAAGATCATTTAGGGACATTGAATCAGATGTTAATGTAGTAATGCCAGTGGATTTTATGTTTCAACACTGCAATACTTTGCCTAATTTGGAGTCAAGATCCCCTCCAAAATTTATTTGCAGGAAGAATATTTTACAATCCATGTTATATCTGTATTTCAGGTGATTTATTTCACTTTTCAGAGATTCCTGAAAAGTGGTATTCACACAACCTGAAATTGTTGCTGAGGCCAGAGCTTTATTAAGATGGTTTTCCCCAACCCTTCTTTAGTGTCTTAGGTGGAGCTAACTCACACATAATTTGATGAGCACTGAGCAATTTGAGTTCTTGACCCTTGTCTCCTTCCCCTCTATCAAACTTGGTTGAAAATAATTCATTCAGAAACTGGTAAGATGGAATAATTAGATAGAGTGAGTGCAGAGAATCCAGCTAAAAGAAGTAATGATGGTAATCCAGCATCTGACAGCAAGTCAGGCTCTTGAGACAATCTGGCCAGTTCAGACTGTGACACTCCACTATCTAGGGATAGTCTACTGGAAGTCTGAGCTTTATCCAATAGATAAAACTCCAGTGTTACATTGGTAATATAAATCACATCCTAGGAGGTGAAAGTTGCCAGTCAAACTCTGTCTAAAATTAGTTTAGATATGCCAAAGAAAAAGACATAATATTGAAGAAACATGCAGTCAAATAAATCAGAAGTACACCTGCTACAAGAGGAATTTCTGTACAAGTGCTTTAGCAAGTCATGCAAGGAATTCTGTCAAAAGTATTTATGCCCACCACCACCAAATCTCTTTTTAGGGGGAGGGGAGACAGGGACAAACTAATTATGGTGTCAGGGCCAGTTTTCCTGGCTGCATGATCTGTACTTGACAGAGATGCATTGCTTTTGCTTGGGTTAACCTGCCCTTTACTATGGCAATACATGTTGATAGTGGCACACACTTAATATTAAGCATTGTTGACACTCTTTATTCCCCCTTATTCAATACTAGGAAAATAAAAGCACTCATATACAAAAAAAAAAAAAAAGAAAAACAAAACACAAAAACAACAACCAGCAAAAAATAAGAAAAAAAAGAGATGCATTCAAGATGTGTAGAGATATTATTTCTTTTGTTGGGGATGAGGAAGTAGCTGGAGATATCCACCTATCTAGCTATTGTTTCATATGTCAAAGGCTCAAGAATTACAAAAAATTCTGTAAATTCTTTAAAACTGTTTTTTTAAAATCATTTCTTCAGCAAAAGGAGCCTAAATGGATTATGCTCTGCAAATACCTGTTACTTGCATTTTTAAAAATAATTAATATCTGATCATTAGCAGATGGGATAGCAGGAGCTATTGTTGCTGCCACATTGAGCATTTGAAATTGGATGTCAGCATTACTGTCAGACTCACAAATCTGACAAGCATTACTGAAGTTGTACCCTTAAACCAAGCAAACAAACACATAAAGAAACCAGACCCAGACTGATTTGCTGGAACTGGTAAGTTAGTTTCTGTACCTCTGCACAAACTGTTGGCTTGCAGGGACTAACAAAGCTGATAAGTGAATGGGTTGGTTATTCACAACTGCTTTTAAAAATGCTACAATTCCAGTATGTTGGGTGTTTTTATTTACAGAATGTTGTTGTATAAATGCTGTGCCTAGGTTTGTAATTTCAACAGGATTTCATCACAAGATATGATGATGATAATAACTAACAAATACTAGGTCTTCAAGTCTCCTAATCTTGATGTAGATGTCAAGACTAAGAGTAGTTCTTGGTACTACAGGTAAAACAAAAACCCACCTGGCTGAAGTTCTTGCAGAGTATGAATGGGGCTGTATATATATATACACACATATATATATGTGTGTATATATATATACACACTCTCATCATTTTGCAAAACATCTTTTGCAAGGTTATGTATGTTGAAGTATTCTCTTTAAAACAGTGTAGCCTTCTGATAATACTAAAAATCTGGACCCTGTGATAGATGGGTATTTTTCCCAAACAAAATATTTTCATATATACAAAGCCATAGTAATAAAAATAATTTAGTATTATTATACACTGCTCTAATTAAGTGTGTAAACAGTGATTTAGAAAATGATTATGAGGCTAGGAAATGAGCACGCTGAAGCCCATCAGGTGATGGCAGGGAAGCAGAGAAAGCCAGAAGCTCAGGTGCTTCCCACAGCTCTGGCACTGACTCATCCTTTGCCTAAGGCAAGTGCTAAAGCCAACACTTTCACAATGACACCTGGTCTTTGATCCATTTTAAAGAGTCTCTTAAAGCATTTGACCTACAACTCCTAGTGACATGAATAATTGTGGAGACAAGGATTGCAGTTTAGGTTGAAGAGGGGAACACTTGGGTTTTTCAGACCTTTTCCTTGCTCCTGAAGAGCACTGCTAGATAAAATGTCCCTGCTGAGCTGAACCAACAGAGATATCAGTAATCATGCCGGTCTGCCAAAGCCCATGTGAGGCAGCAGTAATCACCTCCAGATTTGGGATGGGCAACTGGAGCTGTGTCATCCTGAAGCACCTCTCCAGTATCAGCAGAGTTCATCTGTCAAAAGGCCCAATCAAACCAAGTCCCACTGGCTCTGCTGACACTCTGTGGAATTGGTGCTCATGTTTGGTTTTTTTTAAGCTTTGTAATTACATGTTGTCATACATAATGGGAAAGACTGGATGATATCACAGTATGTTCTTCATATCTATTTGATGTAATAGGCTGTTTATAAGACTTCATCAGGCAGTTTTGCTTCAGGTTGTGCAGTGGATGTTTTCATTGTAGCTTTTTTGATAAAACAAGCCAAAAAATTTCACAAATACTGGGAAGAATTAAAAGGAGAGGAATCTCCAAAATGGGTAAGTAAGCACTATCTCCATCATCACAGCTGACTTTGCAGACAACTATGCCTAACACAGCAATTCCCACAGTATTTTGAGGAATCCAATTGTGATGTAACAAGTAAACTGGAAATACATTTATTAAAATAAAAAACAATTACCTAGTGAAAAGAGAGTTACTGTATTTAGGTATCTTCTAGTCCAAGACTATACTCACCAAAATTTCCTTAAGGAAAGGAGGTGACTAAGACATGAGTCAGCCTTTAGTGTGCCAGTGTCACCTGAGTCACTGGGCACCTTCTACTCTGACGTGTACTAAAAGAGAGAAACCAGGCCCACTGCAAAATCTAACATTAATCACCTGCCAGAAACAGCACAATTCTCAAATTCAGCAGCTGCAGGGAAGAGTAAGAAAAGGCTGGATGAGAAGAAAAGTGGGGTTCCCCTTTCTGTTCCTCCAAGTGACTTCATTCCACTCTCAGCCTGCTACCAGCTGCTTTTAAGAGTTCTGGATTTTTGAAAACCCATTCCTGGATGCCCATCCCTTCCCAGGCATTTGGAGTGCATCCATGTCAGGAATGTGGCTTTCTTCTGTACCACAGCCACCAAGTGAGCAATCACAGAGGGTGCTGCAGGTGAGCAGCAGTGTCACTTTGCTCACTGCCATCAGCAGTACCTAATGCACAGCATACACCCCCTGCCCTGACATGTGGATTACAACTACTACTACTATTATTATTATTGTTATTATTATTCCTACTTCTATAAGCCTTAATAGAAATATAAACTGCTCTGGATCTGCCCACTGACTACTTTATCAAAAACAGATGGAAAGAGTTAAATGTTATAATTGTCATGTGGAAATTAAGATATTTTAGTCAGACAAGTAGCCCACCTTAGATGTATAGGTAGCACAACTGTAATCTGCTGGTATCAGAAATCAATCTTATCTTTACAAGAGGGATAAACAAACATTCCCACTTCTAGTACATAAAGAGAACTAATCATAAAAGTAGTGCTCTAGAACTGACAAATATTGTAGTTTATAAGCAAAGCCAATATCCTAAGCTTTCAGGGAAAAGGAAAAATAACTTCTCCAAGTACTTCAAAAACTACAAGCTACTACAAGCTCTTGTAGCTTGCAGTGAGAGCTACAAGAGTGAGACAGTCAGCAGAAAACAGAGCCACCAATGTACTTGCATGAACAGAAAAATACAACTGGAAAAGAAAAGCTGCAGGCTGCCTGTCAGCAATCTTGATTATTTGTTAATCACAAATTCCTATCAATGTCAGTTAAACAGGATTGAACATTTGAATTATAAAGAGCTACAGGCTTTGAGAGGTAACTTCAAAATTCCACTTTTAAAGTTTGTTCTAGCAACAGTAACACAAGCTGCTAAACACCTATTTTATACAGCTGCCAGGTGTTAAAATACAAACCCAAAAATTACTTTTCATTAATGTAGCACCCATTGCCCAGAAAACAGCATCATGCAGGTACTGGTATCTCCATCACACTCACACCAAAGCACAAGTATTTTTAAGGAAGTAACACCCAGTGTCAAAGTTTCTAAAACTGAGTGAGGCAAAATTATATAGTAAAATCAGGATGCAGGGTCTGCAGTGTCTCATGGGATGGTTATGATGCAAGACAGCACAACACTGTAAATGTCACATCACACATTTGCACTTGCCAAGCCCATGTGTACAATGATGGGCAATGAAAACATAAATCTGGACTC